ATCTCCGCTGTACCCCCCCCGAATGCCTGCCCTCTGCCTCTCCTCTCCTCTCCTCTCCTCTCCTCTCCTCTCCTCTCCCTCCCTCCCTTCTTCCCTCTCCAGTTTCTTCTGCTCTTCCTTGCTTCCAGGCCCCTTTGCATAGTAAAGTGGTGACTAATTTCCAGCTCCAACCGGGGGAGCCAAACAGAGCCGAAAATGCTCCTAATTTACAGCCGGGCTAGAGCGCTCAGCTCTCAGCGGGTCCTGAAGGGACCCCACTCCTGCTCAGTGCCAGCTCTGGGGCAGGGGACTCCAGGGAGCCCTGTGCCGAGCTGGCACCTGGGGGGACGTCAGCTTTAGGCCAGCCTAAAGGGCGGTGCCAGGGAAGTGGATGCTAGGCAGGGGGGCAACGCTTAACCCCCCGGTGGCCCCCAGCCCTGGTGCCCACAGGCTGGGGCGGCCGAGCCGGGTGCGTTTCAGTGACCCTGAGGGCAACATCCTGTTTGAACACCCTGTGCAGAAGAGCGCAGCCAACGAGGATGGCATGGTGAGAGGGGCCAGGAGGGCATGGGGGGGCACAGCACCCCTTCCTCCCCCTGCCCAGTGCCCCCTGGGCCCTGCCCAGCTCTGCCCCTCACCCGCAGCTCTGCGGGATGTGGAGGACGGTGTCCAAGGCCAACGTCCAGCTGCTGCGTGGGGAGCAGCTCCGCGTGTCCCTCATCACCCGGGCACAGCCCTCCGGAGAGGTCCACGGGCACATCCTCAAGCACCGGGCACTCTTTGCAGGTAAGACTGGCTCCTGTGTATCCACCCACACAGTGGGTATCCACCAGGATGTCCCTCATGCCCCCTTTTCCCCACTCAGAGACGTTTGGGGCCATCCTGACCTCCTCGGACCCCACGCACCTGGGTGCTGGGGGCATGGCCATGCTGACGCTGAGCGACACCGAGAACAACCTGCACTTCATCCTCATGGCCCGGGGGCTGCTGGAGCCCGGGGGTGAGGGTGGGCACGGGCACTGCCCTGGGGGACTGTGTAGAACTGAGGAGGGCGGTGCATGGCATATGTGTGGGTCAGCATCTATGGGGTCAGGGTGGGTGCATGGGTGGTGCATGGGGGTTGAGGAGTGATTTGGGGTGTGCGTGGTGAAGGGTGTCTGGTGTGTACCTATGGGGGGTGTGGGCCTGAGGGATGCTCAGGTCACATGGATTGATGTACAGAATGGGGCTGGGGTGTGGGGTGTGCAAGGATGTGGAGTGTGGCGGGGGAATGGTGGGGGTCACGATTTAAGCTGGGAGCTGGCAAGAAAGTGGGGGATCAGATGCAAGAGTTTGGGGGCGGTGGGCACAGAAGGTTGTGTTTAGGGGGCAGAGGTGGTTGCAGATCCCCACTCCAGTGGGTCCAACTCCCTCTGCCATGCCCAGAGTCCCCCTGGGTCCCCCTGTGGGTCCGCATCCTGCACCAGGGCCAGACACTGCGGGAGATCCACGCCAACATCACCCTGGAGGTACAGACTCCGTCCCCCCATGTGTCCCGGCAGCCACAGTGCCCCGGGGCTGAGCTGTAGCACTGTGCCCCCCCCTGGCAGGACCCCGACTTTGCGGAGGTGCTGAGTGAGCTGTCGCCCCGTGAGCTGCAGTGGCTGGGGGGGGGGCGGCCCCCGCCCTGCCCCACAGCGTAGCGGAAACGGGGGGGGACCCCCCGCGCCGGCTGGCGGGCCCCATCCCCCCCCGCCGCAGCTGTGACAGTGAGCACGGGGCAGGCACCCTGGAGTGCAGAGGGGGTGGCCGTGCCTACCCCATGCCAAACTCACCCCTCTGTGTCTCTCTCCCTGGGCTGAAGCCATCCAAAGCGTGCTGTGTGGAGCGGACGCCTTGTCACCAACCAAAACGGGGGCTGTGGGCTCAGCCAAGCTGGCACTGCATGAGAATGGCACCTTAGAGTACCAGGTGAGTGGAGGGGCACCCAGCAGTTTTAGGGAGGGCCTCTACCCCCTGGTGCTGCACTTCAGCACCCTGCCCACAGGTACAGGTGGTGGGAACGGCCAGCGAGGTGGTGGGCATCACGCTGGAGACCAAGCCCCGGCGGAAGAGCAAGAGGAATGTCCTGTTCGACATGACACCCAGCTACAAGGATGGACTGGTGAGCGCTGGGTAGCACTGGGGAGGGTGGCATGGGGATCTTGGACGGGTCCCCGTCCCAACCCACATCGTCTCCCACCGGTGCAGGCCTGGGGTGCCTGGCAGAGCCCCAGCGCCCGCGATGCCCACATGCTGCTGCAGAATGAGCTGTTCCTCAACGTGGCCACCAAGGACTGGGCAGAGGGCGAGCTGCGGGGCCAGGTCATCTCCCTGCCCTACAGCGGGCTGCTCGCCCGCTACACAGGTACCGGGGGGTGCCAGGGGTGGCGGTGGGGGCAGGGAAGAATCCCCCCCGCCCGCCACCTCGCACAGCGCTTGTCTGTGCGCAGAGATGCCAGTGGCGCTGGCGGGGCAGCTGGTGTCCCCCCCGGTGAGCAGCGGGGCCGGGGGGCATGCCTGGCTGTCTCTGGATGAGCACTGCCACCTGCACTACGAGATTTCGGTGGCAGGGCTGGGCCGCCCCTCTGACGGCACCGTCAGCGCCCACCTCCATGGAGTGGCCGAACTGGGTGAGATGGGCACCCGGCCCCACCAGCACAAGCGCCTGCTCAAGGGTTTCTACAGCACTGAGGTGAGGTGGCACCTGGTTGGGGAACTCCGTGGTGGAGGCCAGGCCAGCCCTCATGCCCCCACTGGTGCCCCTCTCGCCCCCCAGGCTCAGGGGGTGGTGAAGGACCTGGACGCGGAGCTGCTGCAGCACCTGGCCCAGGGCACAGCTTTCCTGCAAGTCAGCACCAAAGCCCACCCGCACGGGGAGATGCGGGGACGGGTACGTCCTCAGGGCACCCCCATCCATCCCCACCACTGCCCGGAGTCCTCGGCTGGGTGGCACTGCCTGGAGCAGGGTGGGAAGGACACAGGATGGACGGGCATGGTCCCAGGATTCCAGCGTGATGGGTGCTGCAGTCGTGGGTGCTTCCTCCACCAGCCCTGACCATGGAGGGCACCGGCACGGGAAGTGGGGTACCCCAATGGTGCTAACCCCCCTGCCTGTGTCCCCCCATCCAGGTGCACATCCCCAACCGGTGCTATGCAGGAGGGAACCGCCTGGCCCCGGGGGAGACTGAGCTCCCTGAGGACTCCAAGAGCAGGGACCTGGAGCAGCTGAAAAAGGACCCCAACTCCTGCTTCTTTGAGGGGCAGCACCGGGCGCATGGCACCCGCTGGGCCCCGGACTATGACAAGAAGTGCTCCATCTGCAGCTGCCAGGTACAGACCCTGAGGGAGCACACTGGGGGGGGCAGCACCCATCAGCAGTTCCCCCTGCTGTAACAAGCCCTGTATTTGCCACCCCCAGAAGCGCACAGTGATCTGCGACCCCATCCTGTGCCAGCCCCTCAACTGCACCCACCAGGTGCACCCCGAGGAGCTGTGCTGCCCCATCTGCGAAGGTACCTGGGGGGCAGGGGTTGGGTCCCTGTCTAAGCCTATGCTGCTGGATCTGTGTGCACCCCCCATGACCTTCCTCTTCCTCACAGAGAAGAAGCCAGGGCAGGAAGAGCTGAAGCTGGAGAGGGCACGGGACAGTAGTGAAGGTGAGTCCCCAGTGGGGACTGCCCCTGCCCAACATCCCCACGGGGGCTGCACCCACCTCTTCCTCCTCTTCCTCCCCCAGGCTGCTACTTTGATGGAGACAAGACGTGGCGAGGCTCTGGCACCCGCTGGCACCCGGTCGTGCCCCCCTTCGGCCTCATCAAATGTGCCATTTGCACCTGCAAGGTGAGTGCGGGTCCCAGACCCCAAACGTGGTGTGGTGACAGAGCTGCCCTGGCACCCATGGGTGCTCAAAGCAAGGAAGGGGGTGGATCCCTTGTGCCCCCCATGAGCCGTCTGTGCTCCCCGCAGGGCACCACAGGCGAGGTGCACTGCGAGAAGGTGCAGTGCCCACGCCTCACCTGCGCCAACCCTGTGCGCGCCAACCCCTCTGACTGCTGCAAGCAGTGCCCAGGTACCCACACCCCCCTCCTGCCCCCCACTTTCCCAGCACGGCCACCACCAGCGGTGCCGTGGTGTTCCCCTACTTTGGGCAGGCACCCTCCCACCCCCTTTTTCTGCAGCCCCTGAAAAGACCATCCCCGAGCTGGCTGACAGCATGCAGGCAGATGGGCCACGGGCGTGCCGTTTCGGGCGCCGCTGGTACCTCAACAACGAGAGCTGGCACCCCTCTGTGCCCCCCTTCGGAGAGATGAAGTGTATCCTGTGCTGGTGTGTGGTGAGTGTGCCAGGCCTCAGGCAGCACCAAGGGAAGGAGAAGGTGCCCCTGTGCCAGAAGAGCACCATGAG